AAACTTTCAAAACGTCGTGCTGCATTTATTTATCATTAGCATGTTGTGAAAGGTTACTCATGTTCTAAAACATTACGTTGTGGGCTAGAATAAATATTTAGAAAATTATTTTAACAAATTCTTAATGCATTCCACAGTGTTGTTAGTAGAAACATCCTTTTTGCCTGTGCTCAACAAGGCAGTGGAGGCCACAGTAACATGTTCACAATACTATTGGCAAGATTACACTTAAAAATATTTTTTAAATATTTTATATTTTTTATTTCAGTATTGTGGAATAGGATCATACAGGACAAATAAATAACTAAAAGACAACAATATTTTTAAGTGTAATCTTGCAGTAGGCTGCTTATCAAAGCACCATTAAAGTCACCATGAAATCAAAATGGACAGTGTTTTGGACTTTTTTTTAGTTCATGTAGCTACCCTTATAAGCTTTAACTTCCCCTTGCAGCAACATCTCTTCTCTGAGGACGTGTTCACTGACATGAGTTCGGAAAATTTGATCGCAACTTCCATTTCAATTTCTTCATGTCCTAAGAGATAGCTGAAACTACATTTCTGTTTACACTTTGACTTACTGTTTCTGATTCAATTTTGTTTTCAACATTACGTCTGACCCCTATTACCTTAAGAGATCTTCTGAATGCTTTGATAAAATTACGTGAGCCAAAAAAATAGATGAGGGGGTCCAAGCAGCAGTTGATTCCTGCCAAAATATAGCATGCATAATATGCTGTTTGCAACTGCAACATAAGTCTACATTTACTAGGATGATACTTTTTCACAACTACTCCGATAGTCCGAACAACATTGAGAGGAAGAAAGCAAAGGCCAAATATGAATACACATATCCCTATCATCCTCATAGACTTATTCTTGACTGATTGGCCCTGAGCAGAATTGATGTTAATGCGGGACACTGAGCTCGCCAGGCGACTGTAGCAAAACACTGATATAGTTAAGGGTAAAATACACCAAAAGAAGAAAATCACAAAGTTAATAATAAAGTAAGCATCTGTCAACCTTGTCTGATGAATAGTAAGACACTGCCCATGATTTTCTTCAGTGGTCACAGGAAGCAGCCATCCATAGAAAATGCCAATTATTATCAGAAAACACCAAATCCCAGCACACAGCTTCTTCACGAATATCTTCCTCTTTATCAACGAGGAGCGGTTGAAGTGAACCACGGACACATATCGATGAACGCTAATAAGTGTGAGGAAGATCACACTGCCATTAAAGTGGATGCTGAGCACGGCGATCTTCAGCTGGCAGGCAAAATCCCCAAAAATCCAGTTGCTATCCATGGCAAAGTACGCTGCCATCAGTGGGGTGAGTGGAGTGATGATGGCGTCAGATAGAGCCAGATTAAACTGCAGAACAGCTCCAGAGTTCCATTTGTGAATGCGACAGGTGAAGACCCACAGGCTGAATCCATTGAGCAGAAGGCCCAGCAGATAGACCAGACAGAGGATCACAGCCAGAGACATGTGCTGAGGCTCAGGAGGACATGTATCCCCATGGCTCGCGTTGGGTAAATCTGAGGTGTTCATCTTTGAAGAATGCCACTGTGCAGAAAAAATGAGGGGTTGTTGATCAGATGCATCAAATAGATGAACTAAAAATTACAGTGGCCCTGATCTGCTACTTTGTTGGTGGGGAAAAGTGCCTTAGATCCTTCCTTAGTCCTAAGATTTTCTCTCACTTTCTCTCTGACTTTTTTTGTTCTCTCCAAAAAAAATTCTGTCTCCAAATTTCTTTCTCTCTTCAAAACGAGATAAAGAAAGAAAGAAAAAAGGTATGCAGTGGTTTAGGACGAGAAAAAAGGTTTTTGGACAGAAAAAAATAAGTTCATGAAGAGAGAGAAAAGTTCTGAATAGATAAAAAAGTTTAAGAGAGAGAAAAACAAACTTAAAAAAAAATTAAGTTCAGGAAGGATCTAAGACACTTTTTTTTACATTTACATTATTACTGTTTTTTATTTTGAAGTTCAGGACTTCTGTAATGGAGAAGACAAACTCTCTAAATGTCTAAAAACAATAAATAAATTAAAAGGTTTTTGAACTCTATTTGAATTAAATAACTGGTGTCCTATTTAGCAGTTTTGTGTGTAATATATAGAATCAGAATCAGAATGAGCTTTATTGCCAGGTATGTTTACACATACGAGGAATTTGTTTTCGTGACAGAAGCTTCCACAGTGTAACAGAATGACAGTGACAGAACAAAAAAACACAGATAATAAAAAATAAAAATAAATAAAAAATAAAAAATAGAACAAGTAAAATAAGGAATAAAAAATATACAAATCGACAATTGTATGTACAGGTATAGAACAATAGACAGTTGTATGTACAGGTATATTATGTGCAAATTGAAATGTAGACTGAGTATGTGTGTTAGATAAATAAGTGTATGAGTGAATAAATAGTGTGTGTTCCACAGTTATTGTCAAGTGTTCATGAGATATACACACACATATCATTTTTGATCAGTTAGCAGTAAATTTGTATGACATTTTTTGTGCACTATCCTGTTGCCGAATAAGCAATGCTGCAGTTTTTTCTTTTCTTTTCACTTTTTCCAGTAATTTTTCCTTTCCCCTTAAATTCTTATTAAATTACCAAATGTAACATGCCTCTGAAAAATGAATATTAAGCTAAACAGAGCACTTACCAGGTCATGCAATGCTCCCCTCAAAACTAATTTGAAATATGTAATTTGTATGAGGAAGTGACTATATGAAAGCACACAACTTTACATTTCAGTATAAGCGTCATAAAAAGGAACCAAGACAGGATTTCCTTTTATTAGTCAGCAGTCATTAACCTAAACTCCACCCTTTTCTACCACTATGTTATGAGCAGTGAGGTACTTTAATAAGAACACCAGCCTCAGAATTCATGGATTTTAAGACAGGTATAACCTGTTCTGATGTTGCTTATATATAGAATATCAATTAAAAAAAACTAAGAATCCTACAGCAATAAATCATTTTATTGGCTGCACTTCAGTGCAATCATTAACAAACAATCATTTGCTTCAAAAAAGTAAGCAAAAGTATTTCATTTGCATGAAATTGAATTAACTATAAACCTAAAAAAATGAAAAATTTCAATGCAATTAAAAAAAAAAAATGAGGACAACAGAAGCAATTAATTGTAGTATTAAAACAACTAAAAACAGATCCAAAACTAAAAGCTAAAACTTTATAAATACTACCTATAAACATTTTAAAATAAAGAGATTAAATAAAAATGACAAATGCATACAAAAAAATTTCAAAACTTAACATTGAAATGAAAAACAAAAAATAAAGCTCAAAACAATTCGGGGTCTGAATACTTTCCGTACCCACTGTATATATACACACACATACACACTTATAAATTCAATATATATATTATTTCATTTCCATTTAGTTTGTTGAAGTATTAAAATAACTCAAATTATATCAAACTAAAAACTTAATAAAAGACCTATACAGACATAATAAAGTCAGACATCATTTAACTAAAATTAAAATAAATAACAAATACAACTAATACAAATCAAATGACACACTGTAAAACCTGATAAGTTAAGAATACTCAAAACATTTGTGGAAACTTATTGCCTCAAAATATTTGAGTAAACAAACTCAATTTTTTTAAGTTAGTAGAGCTTAAAATTTTTATGACAAGTGGGGCAGGGCTGAGAGCCATGGGAGCCAAGCCAAGCCTCCCTTCCATGATCCCACCCCACTCATCACAACGATAATTATATACAACTTGTTTCCATTAACAGCACATTCATTCAGATCTTTATAGTTAAGTGCTAGATAGCAACGGCACACTGGCAC